CCGTGACGCTCCGACGACCGTTATAACCCCGTCGCACCCTGGCAGTGCTGGGACGGGCGTCGGAGGTCATCGGGGAGAGAAAGCCATCCAAGAGCTTTTGGACTTCGCGCCGTTGCTCCGTGTCTGCGTCCTCGCCAGATCGATGGAGAGACGTGACGATGGAGAAGTCGGCACCGTCGATGGTAGTGCTGGCGCCGTTGACCGTCCCGTTGAGGCCGGAACTGGAGCGGCTCTTGTGCCGGTCGAGCGTGTGGTTATACTGCGCGTCCGGGGCCCCAGCGTTGCCATTTGCGAGGAACATGTTATGTCCGGGGGCAGTCGACGGCCGGTCCGAGTTTAGGGATCGCTCTGAATCGTTCGGGAAACAGCCGGGGATGGAGAGCGACGGGGGCAGTGGCGGGACGGGAGGGACCTTGGCTCCGTTTGGCAGCCACTGAGACTGACGCCCGTCGGTGTCGGCCGCGGGCATTTTGGAAGCCCGCGGTGTTTCCACGCCGTCCCCATCCATCTCCAATCCGTCGCGCGTGATTTGCGGCCGGACGGAGCCGCCATCGCCATCGATTTGGGACAGCGAATATCCGCTGACCATGCTCTCGCTGCTGGAGGAACGGACGCTGCCCGTGGAGGCGAGTCGGCCCCGAAGGGGACTCAATCGTCGGTTCTGGTCGTCTTTGTTGATGGTCAGAGCCCGTCGCAATTCGGTGACATGGACAGGAGAATCTCGGCTGGAATTGAAAGTGGACCGGGAATCAGTAGCACTCATCCGGCGGAAGCTTTGCAGGCCTGCTGCACCGGGGTGTGCGGAGGCCGGGGAATGGTTGGAAGAGGTGCTGCCTTCATTGCCATTCAAGTGCGCATGATGCCGCGCTGCCAGCGTGCCCGCTCGGGAGCCAGTGATCGACATGGCTTCGGTCTTCTCCCTGTCGGCAGCCGCCAAACAGGCTTCCCGGGACCACGTCGACTGCATCTGCTCCTTAGCGACCAGCGGAAGAAGATTGCTGCGGGGCGGAGCCCCCGCCCCCGTGGCCGACACATGGGGCAGAACCGGCGCAGCGAGGTTTCGTCCCGGCGATCCGGGTGGGCTTTGGGCCGAGGAGAGGACGGAGTCATTGTATGCTTCCTCAATGCGGGACACCAATTCTGGGACCTCGCGGAACGGAGTCATAAGAGCCGGGTTCCCCATACTACCTTTGACGGCCGCGCGGCCGTGGTTTTGGGTGATATAGTGCAGGTTCTCGGCCGGCAATCGGATCTGCTGAAGCCACAGACACGACCGTTGCCTCTTTCCAATCTCATTCAGGATATCATTGGTCACTTGGGAGCTTCCCAGCTGGAACCGTTCGGACAGCGCCCACAGATAACCATGGACCAAGCTTCCAAGGTTGATCTGGGCTTCCGATGAGCCCAGGTGGCCCATGTCGTCCTGGAGCCTTAGGATCATGGGGAACCCGAACCGGACAGCGTTCACGCCGAGACGGTCAACGAGACTGGTGAGAAGCAGGTGAAGGAGCATGATTTCCGCTTCATCGGTGGCACACTCCAGCGCGATATCATACACGGTAAGATGAAACAGACGGAGGAAGTTCGACTGGGCCGCTTGCAGTGCCTTTTCTCTGTGGTTTCCGGATGGCCCACTGCGCTTGCCGGGCTGCTCGGCGATATCGGGAAGGTCACGCCTTGGCGACGGGCTGGAGAGTCTGCCAGCGCGGTCCTTCACGCTCATGTCGTTTTGGTTGGTCTCCAGCACCAGCCACGTCAAAAAGGCATCTGCATAGGCATAACGGACCTCGCGTTCCGGATCGTGCAACAACCACTGCGTCCCCTGCCACGTGTGGATGCCCACCGGCTGTCGCGTCTCGACGACGGCTGATTCGGGTCTCTTCGAGCTCGCCACCAGCAGGATGCTTTTGATAGATTTCAGCGCCGTGCTCTTGGCGTCGCCCTGGAGCGCCATGTGGTCGGTCTCCCCACCCACGACGGGGGTGGGTGACAACCCCACCGAGTCGGTCTGGATCGGAACCGATGCCGTTGCCGACTCATCCCCCGAAGACGGATTGATGCGGGTCAGGATCGCCCGAATCATGTCGCTGACTTGCTCGCCGTAGTAGATGTGTGTCGCAAGGTCACCGATGCATCGCTGGAGGAGAGCGAGTGATTCCGACTTCCGGGCTGACAGTGCTTGACGATCGCGCTGCTCCAGTCCCTTGGCGGCGTCTGCTTCGAGGGCGGGCAAGGACGACACGTACCGCAAGAGGCCCAGCAGGATGTCAATGACACTCAGCCCGATCATACTCACGGGGGATTTGAGCAGCCAATCAATCATGAATACGACGGTGAACCCCGCATCCAAGGGCTTGTCGGACGGCTTCGTATCCAGGAGGAACTCCATCGCGGCGGCCAGAATGATGAATCGCACTTGCACGGGGCACCATTTGGCGACGAGCTCGATCAGCGCGGTATCCCAGCTGTCCTTGGCGTCCAGCGACAAGCTTTGCTTGCTCGCCTGGCCTCTCCGGAGGATGAAGTCCAGCACGACCTTGGTGGTCACCCGAATCTGGCCGCGGCTGCTCCCGGTGACCACGATGCGTTCCAAGCATCGGAGGGCCAGCAACCTCATATCCAACTCGGCCTTTCTATCGGCATCGGCCGTGGAGCGCGCTGCCAGAGCCGGGTCTCCTTCCACGGTGTCCACGGTCTCCACGGTGGCCGTGCTGATCCTCCGCCGGTGGGTCGGGATGGGGTCTGGCCGTTCCGCCTCATGCAAGCGGTGCTCCAGGGTGGTGAGCAAGTCATCGTCGCCATTGTAGAGGTTCTCCAAGATTACGGGCAGGATGACCTTGAGCGAATCCCCGCCGTCCGCCGCGAGGCCCGCCTCCGAACTGACCACCCCCTGAATCGCCTGCAGGCCCACGTTCTTCCACCGGATGGACATTTGAGGGGTTTGAGCCGTCTTCGCCTGGGGTAGCCGCTGAGAGTCGGCGAAGCTCGCGTAGGTTCGCACGACTTCCCGGTACTGGCTGGCGAATTCTTGTTCGGCGGACAACGCGGCCATATCCTGATGCTGGCAGAGGGTCTCGAAGGTTGGGATCGAATCCTCCACCAAGGAGACCTCATTGGATCGGATGACGGTTTCGAGGACGGTCAGGACGGAGCGGACGTAAATCGGCAGGTCGCGGGGGACTTTTTCGATCAACGCGCTGAGGATGTGAAGCGTTACCTGCACGTTTCTATGGTGTTTCAGCCTGGTTAGCAATCCATCCCCTATTCCCTTGCGACACCGCGGGACTGGCGGCGCACTCACCCAATTTTACGACGCCACACGTCGCGAGCGGCCCGCTTCTCCAGGAAGGCGCCGACCTTGGTCAATTTGCTGCGGCGGGTGCTGACATAGTAGAGAAGGTAGGACAGTTCACTCGGGTTCGGTTTGACTTGAGCGATCCCTTTCTGGTATTGCGGGTAGCATTTGAGGACGAGGACCTGATGTTTGGGTCGACATTTCTGGCGAACGCCCTCCATTGGCGCGAGTGGGGGGGGAGAAGAACCGAGGAGGCTATACAAAAACGCGTGGTATACAAGGCGCGGTGGGAGAGAAGGTGAAAGGCGTAAACGCGATCCAAGGGGGGTAGTCGGCAGGGGAAAGAAAGAAGAAAAGCACTAATCGAGTCGAAGGAGAGGAGAAAGGAATGGAAGGAAAGGAAGGGAAGAAAAAGTCAAGTGTGAGAAAGTGTTGTTGAGCAACGTTGGAAAGCCTCCGTGCAGCATCAAGGAAGAAGAAAGGCTGATGTCACCGCAACGGATTAACGGTCGACGTGGAGGCTGGCTGGATTGAGAATGGGAAGACAAAAAAGGACCAGGGGAGGCGACTGGGGTGGGACTAGGGTCAGTGCGATCACGATGGGCGGGGTTGGCCCATCGAAAAAGGATGGGAGAGAAGGAGAGGATTTGGATTGGTTATAATTAGAAGGGAAAGGCAAAGGGGTTCCAAGGTGACTCGGTGGAAGAGCTGAAAAAGAAAAGGATGTCAGAAAGGAAGAGGAAACCAATGACAGATTGAAAGGAGGCTTAGATGGGGGTCGAAGTGGGTTTTGGGTATCAAGCTAAGACAGCTAGGGGAGGTGATCATACCTCGGGAGGTAGTGGTTATTATGATTTAACTATTGTAAAGATTGACAAGATGAAAAGAACAAGAGAAAGAGAAGAGAAAGAGAAGAGAAAGAGAAGGGAAAAGTGTCGATGAATCCAAGTTGATCCTGTAGAGACTGCAATGGACGGCCTGAGGCGGCAATATCACACTGTACGAGTCACTTCATCAAATATTGGAGGTAAACAATTCAGTTCAACCGCCATCTTCCACCACACTTGTTCTACCCAGATGAATTCATATATATATGGACGGAATCCTCCGTACTCTGTATCTATATGCATATATCTTCCATCTTTGAAAGTATTCCATACATCATCATCATCATCATCGTCATCTAGACCAACAGCCAAGACCAACCCATCCCAATCGCATCATTTTCCTAATCGTTCATAGCCACCCCACCTTTCCGTGGCACAGATTCTCAAGCCACATGATCCACCATCGCCTTCCCCTCCATCTGCCTTCTCGCCATTTAACGTGAATCGACCGGAAATACCAAACGCTGACACCCCGCAATCCGGGGGGAGACGGAAGGCAATTGGAGCTTAATTCCAGAGGTTGTGCGGGGCAAGACCGGTAGCTCTGGGGGGGCATCATCCTGTTGGGCGTATTTCGTACCGTTGGACTGGCGTCCGTCCACCATAGCCGATCCCGCGCATCGTCCAGGAGTACCTCGGTCACACATGAATGATGCGCCCGGGGGTTCTCCGACCCCACGGCGCCCGTTTGAGGATGCGCGTATCTAGCGTAGATCTCGTCGCGGTCGAAGCGTCCGGAAAATCTTTCACCCAACCAAGTCGAGGGGTTCAAAAAACCTCAGTGTCGTGTGTGGAGGAGAAAGAAAATAGTGAAAGTAAACAAAATAGGTGAAGGGGAAGCTTCCCGGCCCCAAACGCCGGTCGCAAGGACCAACGGACTCTCTTTGGTCGGACCAAGGCCTGCCTCATCACCGAGTCAACCTCATTATGACACCCCCATACGCTGTGGCTCACGCAACGCAAAAGCCACCAAGTAGACAGAACAGACACTAGGCTTTGACGGCATTGTCAACCCCTTGCATTTCCTGAGGATTCTCCTGGTTCTCGTCCGCTCCGTCCGTCTCCCCGGTCGGGACAGCCTGATCGCCCGCAATGCCCGCCAACCCTTCGATGACCTGGGGGCGGATGATGTCCCGGCGGAACGTCTCCTCCTGAAGCAGTCGCAGGGCGCGCAAGGTCGCTCCAGGATGGGTCAGGAATTGGGCGTATTCGGGGGTCTTCCAGTAGGAGTAGAGGTAGGCGAGGTAGGCGGCGAAGGCCTGGGCGTCCGGATCCAGCGCGTCATCGTTATTGGCGTCCGTCTCGTCGGAGGTGCGCGAGATGCCCAGCAGGTTGGGGTAGTTCACGGCCAGGTGGGAGAGATAGTATGGGTTGGCGAGGGCGGAGACAAATTCGAGCTCGAGGGTGAAGCGGGGGTGCGTGAGGGTCGGGGGCGGCTGTTGTTGATCCATTTTGTGGAATTCGCCGGGATCTCTAATGGAATTGGGATGTCGTAGGTTTAGAGATGGGTCGGGGTGCCTTGATGTCGTGGTCACTAGCTCGGCTTGAGCTGGTTGGAGCTTGAAGAGAAAGAGAAAGAGAGAGAGAGGTCGGCAGTGCCAAGCCAAAGCGGCTGAATTCATTGCGGTCCACCTGTCCCAGTTACTCCCCAGAATCCCCACTCCACCACCATTACCATGCTGTACCGCGGATTGTGTTGGATTTTGTGGAGAGGATGATGTGCATTACCTCTTGTTTCTTGCATTTATTCAACTCTGAACATGGCTCAGAAGATACTGGTTCCAGCCATCCAACCTGCCGAACCTGATCTATATCAATAACGTTGATGATCATCGGGCAGTTGCCGCGTATGAATGCAAGACCGGACGTGAACCCTCCTCGACCGTCTCTGTTTTCTACTACAATATGTCTAGAGAATGGATGGAACCTGATTGCGCCTTGACTCTCACGCTAACATACATACGACCTCGATGGATTGCTTGTTAATATATCCCGAGAGACAACAACGGCTCATGCACTATAAGAGCTATCAAAGCAACGCGCATGACTCAGGAGGAAGCTTCGAGGATAGAGTCGATTGCTCTTTTCTTCCAATCTACCAGGAAAAAGACCTCCATACCAACGGGACAAGGATCTGGATATCAACCAACCAGTTTGCAAGCTGCTCCACGTGCCTTGGCATGGTGGACGGAGCCAAGACCGCCATGGCTTGGCGATGCTTTCCAATATCCTCAATACAGCGTCTTGTTTCGGCACGTGGAGGGCTGTCGATCTTTCGATTCGTTCGTGGATGAGTATCAACGCCTTTGAGGGTCCTGGGATGGCATTGCTTCTGCCGTCATGCCTACGATGTCCCCTACCACGGTACTGTGGCCACAAATATAACTCAGTAGTACGTGGGGATGTACTTACCTTAGGCACTGCAATGCGTACTGGACCTACCGTGCAAGGGGAATCATAACGGCAGTGGGGACTCCTTGGCAGTCATTTCCGCGATCGTGCCAATCTCGATATAAAGCGCCTTATCCTTCGATCTTACATCCCTCCTTATCCTTTTCTCGCACTGTTCAATTGTGCGATCTTCAGCTGCTATGAGGTTCCTACAATTCTCCGGTGTCGCCGTGCTGGTCTCATGCGCAGCGGCTCAGACCTTTCAGCGCCTCGGTGGCTGCCCGGATCTAGGCTGTGTTTTCCCTCCTGATCAGTATGACCATCATGACAAAAGCAACCATGCCGACTGCACAATGAACTAATGCATTTTCTCTTCCATAGAGCGGACTTCCTCCCCGGCCAGTTCTTTGACATTCGCCTCGAAGTGCACTCGCCCGTCAACGGCTCTGAAGCTCGCAAGGGAGAGCCCGACCCAGACTTCCAGTTCACTATCAGGAAGAAAGGCGAACAGCCCGTGCCTGTGACCGATTTCTTTGACGTCAAGGAGCCAAGTCTGGAAGCATGGACCTTTACTTGGTACGAAGGTGAGCCAGAGCGAGAGACCCCGCGTCGTCGCGTGCTAAAGCAGAGTAGACCTCTTTGCGGAGGACGCGCACACACCGTCTCTAGTCAACGTCACATCCAAAGCCTACCGGCGGGTGGCTCTCTCTGAGCCCGGCGAATACGAGGCTACGTTGACCTACTATGGCAACCAGACAACCGTAGCCAACTGGCTCGTGCGAGACCTGTCAAGCAAACGGCGCGCGAAGAACGTGATCCTGTTCATCGGAGACGGGATGACAACCAACATGATCACAGCGGCACGTCTCCTAGCCCACCGCAGCATCAACGGCAAGTACATGACCACGCTGCAGATGGACCAGTTCCCCGTCCTGGGCCACCAGATGACCCACTCGATGGATTCGTTCATCACCGACTCGGCGAATTCCGCCACGGCGCTGTACTCAGGCCACAAGACGACGGTCAACGCCCTGAACGTCTACGTGGATTCCTCAGCGGACCCATTCGATGACCCGAAATTCGAAACCATCTCGGAGATCTTCCGGCGCCGCTATCCCGACGGCGGCGTTGGCATCGTCTCGACCGCCTTCCTGGCGGATGCCACCCCCGCGGGCCTTGCCGCGCACACCAGCGACCGCGGAGAGTACGACCATGTGATCGGCGCCTTTCTGGAAGGTCTGCACTCACACGCCTGGACAGACTGGAACGGCCCGGATGTCCTTTTCGGCGCGGGGGCGGAGAACTTCCTGACGAGCAAGGACGCCCCGCGGGACTACTACGACCTGTTCGCGGAGAAAGGCTACAGCGTCAGCTGGAACAAGACGGCGCTGCAGGCGGCCCCCAATGACCAACGGGCGCTGGGGGTGTTCCAGACGTCGAACCTGGCGACCTGGCTCGACCGGCACGTCTACCAGGACAATCTCCGCAACCAGCACAACCACCCGGACGGGTCCGATCGCGACGCAGACGACCTCCCAGGCCTCAAGGACATGACCCTCAAGGCGATCGACGTGCTGCACGAGCGACACGGCGAGCAGGGGTGGTTCATGATGTCCGAGGCCGCCAGCATCGACAAGCAGATGCACGCCCTGGACTACGACCGGTCCCTGGGCGAAGTCCTCGAGCTAGACGACACGGTGCGGGCCACCATCGCGAAGCTCGAGGCTCTGGGCGAGTTGGAGGACACGCTGATCGTGGTGACAGCGGACCACGGGCACGGGTTCGACGTGACAGGGTCGGTCGACACGGCGTACCTGAACGCGCATGACGACGACCGCAGCAAGCGACGGGCAGTGGGGTACTACGAAAACTCAGGTCTCTCGCAGTACGCTGCGCGCGGGCCGGGGGCCCTGCGGTACTCGGAGGGGGAACACTTCCCGGCGCGCTGGGACCCGCGCTACACGCTACACTCCGGGGTGGGGGCCTTCCCGGATCGCCGGGAGAACTACCAGGTGCACCGGGAGGGGCCGCGCGAGCCGGCTGTCCCGGGCCCCGAGGGTGAGTCGTCGTACGTGGCCAACTATAAAGACGCGGTGACCGGGTTCCTGATCAACGGCACGCTGCCTGTGGATGCGGCGGAGGGGGTGCACTCGCTGACGGATGTGCCGGTGTTTGCGCGAGGGCCGTGTCAGGAACTGTTTGGTGGGGTGTATAACTCCGTGGACGTGTTTTTTAACATGGCGGAGTGTTTGGGGCTGGCGGGGGATGAATGAATGTTTGTTTGGTTGATACTTTATCTGTGGCATTCGTCTTTTCTCGCGTACAATGTGGAATATAAAGAGTGTTTTATCATGCCTAGACCATTGTCGAATGAAGAAAATTGATCATCCGTAATCATAGATGTCATGTATTTATATGGGAGGAGAGGGCAAAAATCTTTAGTTAGCAAGGCCACGGCATTTTGATATATGTATCCGTACATCCACTTGACTCATGCCGAGGTGGACAGACATTTAATTATCAAAGGAAAGAACGAATACAATATCAATAAAATAATACAAGTAAATAATTATAAATAAAGTCAAACTAAACAAATTACGATAATACTGATTAAATATGGATTTGCAATCGTTCAGCATGTCAGCTGACCCGTTGGGCTTTCCCATACTACCTGGATTTGATTTGAACATTCCTGCAATCTTGCAACATCTTTCATGGCTTCAAGATCATCGAACGTATCATCATTAAACAGTTTTCGGTGGTCCTTCCACACCAATCAAGTGATAAATCAAGGTAAATGATCTCTTGGCCGCTACGCCAAAATGTTGACCAACCTTTGGTTTAGGGCTGAACCTGACTGATATCCCCAACATAACCTGGGACATGGATGGGAGACAGGATCAGAATGCATGATGGAGTGAATATCTCAGCAGCAGTGACTGTGGAATGCTCACTATGCAAAATAACCACCTCATCTGGATGAGTGATACATATTTTCGCTTTACGACTGATGAAATGACTTGCATTAGACAAATCTTGTCTTTCTCTAGGGACCACTGAGGATGATTTGAAGAAGAATTATGGCAGAGCGCATATCCATTTGGTCTCCTTCTTAGATGGAAATCTGGCCGCTGTGGTCATCCCCCAGATGTTGCGCAATCTCTACCAGCGTGTCAATCAACTCGTCGGCCCCGTCGTCCTGCAGTCGACGGGCTGGGGCTCCGAGCATCAGTTATACCGAGGTCAGATCAGGGATTACTTTTGGACGATATCGGGCAAGTCGAGATGCTGGTACGGTAGGGATCGGAGCTGCTGGTGCTGGACATGACGAAGCAAGTCAAATGCCGTTCAGGATGGCTGGAGGCGCACGCGAAGAGGAAGCTGCCGCCCACTGATAGTCTGCCCCATGACAAGATCGTTCTTCCTTATCCGACGCGCGAGAACCAGAGCCCACGCGGCCCGAAGCATGGTTGTGAAAGTGATTCCGGCTGGGGCGGTTGGGACCGTGCATAGACCTATTGGGAGATCCTTAAGAGCCCCTTGGCCTACTTGCATCGGCATATCATAAAACTGATGCTGCGGATTGCCGCCTATCTGGGTCAATGGCACGTTCCATTCAGCTCAGCATGCCCAGCCGCAGCTCTCCTGGTGATTTCGAGCACATGTTTGGACTTTCTGATTACGGAGGCCAGATCGAGCAGATCTACTACGGCAGGATATCACTAGCACCATGGCAGTGGACAGTGTATACAGAATATTTAGTCTTTTTTGTCATGCCATCCGCCGAAACCCGGCATCTGTTACTAACCCTCCTAACCCTAAGAGTTGCACGAACCATTGAATCACGTAAGAACTCTCCAAGACAGTCGCATACAGAAGATAAATTCATAGTCACTGCACCAAAGAATCCCAAACGGCAGTTTGGGAGAGCTTGACTTGAATGATATCCCCAGTATAAATTGCTGTATTATGGTAAATAGCAGCTGTCGCCGTAAGATCATCAACCACATATCCGTCCCCCCCCCCTCCCTCCTCATGGAAATGATAAGTTCACCACAAATTGACAAGACAACGCTTTCCCCGCGGAGAGAGCAAAAAGTAAGAAATCTGGTCCATGTCCGACACGGACATGCTTCCATCGATGCGAGCCTGTGGAAAGACCCGGAAGAATCGAGCGGTGGCCAGACGGATCTCGGTGCGCGCCAAATGGACGCCCAAGCATGTTCGTGCGCCGCCGCCGAATGCCATGAAAGCGTCCTTCATTGCTTTGGTTGGCTGCTCCCATCGGGTCGGATTGAAGCTGATACCATGTTAGCGGTGAGTTCTGCGCCGGTTGACACGATAGATATAGGGAGAGAGAGAAATACCATTCGGGTGCTGGGAACACATCAGGATCCCGATGCAGGGTGTAAGCTTGAGTCGTAATTACCGTGCCGGCTGGAATCCAGACACCAGCCAGTGTCACATCCTGGGCCGAAACACGGGGCAGACCCGACGGAACGCCGGAAAAGAGGCGCAGGGTCTCGTTGATGACCTGGCCGAGATAGACCAGTCTTCGGAGATGGTGGTCGTCAAAGGCCTCGGGCAGCGTGGCCAGCTCTTGCAACAGTCGGGCCCGGATGGCCTCATCTCGACAGACGGACCAGACCAGATAGGTCATGGTGTTGGCGGTGGTGTCACTGCCGGCGATAATGAAGCTGATGGCCTCGTCGATGATACTTCGATCGGAGAGCCCGCCCTTGTCTGGGTCAAAGAGCTTGGTGAACAGAGCCTCGGTGCGGTTTTCGCCCGCGGCCATGAGTTGTTTGTAGCGCTGGACTGATTCCGCGGCGTACTGCTCCATGCGCTGCCCAGCCTTGGCCGACTGGTGAAAGTATGGGAGCGGGATTACGTCGGCCAGGCTGACTATTCGTGGAAATGCGACTCGGACGCCTTCGGTCGCTGAAATGGATTCGAGATCCCGGCAGTATTGATTTTTCTAGTAGGGAGAATGGATTTCATGTTAGATATGAGGCTTTAACACGCCATATTACGGGGAAAACAAACCCGGCCCTGCTCCAGCATCCGGAAGGAATCCCCAAAGGAAAGCTCCCCGATAATATCGGTAGCCATGAAAATCCACCACTGAAAGACATCGACGACGCCGTGACGGTCCATCTGCCGTTCCATCTGCTGGAGGGCGAGCTGCACGCGGGCATCGATAAGGGGATGCGATTTGCGCAGCTCGGCATCGGAGATTGGGGAGGACAATAATCGTCGACGGGTGGAATGAAACTTGACGTCGCTGGTGTTGAAGAGGTTCTCGATGTCATGCCGGGTTAGGTCGCGGTACCAGGATGACTTCAGGAAGCTGGTTCCAATTCGATGGACTTCCTTGACTGCGGCCAGGTCGGCAACGTCCACTTCTCCTGGGCCGACACGAACTACGGGGCCTGATGGTGATCCAAGGTTATTAGAGGGCCTAGCCGGATAGAACGGTGCGGCTTACCGTACTGCCGGTGAAGATCATGAACGTACTTCATCCGATTGCCCCGGAGCCAGTGAGACTTGAGGACGATGTCGGTCCATTTGGTGAACCATGGTCCTGGAATGGGGGATAGTGGATCAGACCACCATCGACGAAGGGCCTAACAATCGGCCAGTCAGCTCTCGAATGCATCACAAGGGGGAGGGGGAGGTGTTTACCAGAAAGGTTAATAGAGCAACAGGCACTGCCCAGTAGAGGAACCCCATCAGTGCACCTGGTCTGGGCTGAGGTGCAAACTACGTAGTGGATGGTGAATTCCCCAGACGAGGAGGATTGAAAAATCCGGACGGGGCGAGTTACCACTTCAAGTGTCCTGTGATCTTACAGATTTGACGCATGGCTCTCGTTACCGGGCTCATGCATGGGCTACATAAAACAGAGGACGCCAGGTCCCTTGCTTTAACACAGACCGACAATCAACATGACCTTTCCACATGCGAGCTAGAGAAGAGATTGAAGTACGCGCAGGGGAAAGGGCATCCTACAATTGATCACACACAGGGTACATGACAGCCACTGCACCAGAAATGGCGAATCAACATCTTGGTTAACCTTGATATCCCAACAGTATATGTAATCGTCTACATTATGATCTATCATCTACCACACATTGTGGGATTTGATCTCTTCCAGGCTCGTGACCTGCACCTCGCTGGGCAAGGAGGCAATAGACCCATCCCCTGACTGATGGAAAAACCGGTCCCGGGCAGCTAGGAGATCGAACTTGCCCGTAGATGTCTTGGGAACCTCCTCGGTCCCACCCAGATTCCGCAGCAGGCTGGGCAGTTTATGAGATGGCAGCCGGGATCTCAAGTCGACCCTCAACGCTTCCAGGGTCAGCGACGACTCGGCACCTCGACACCGAACCAATGCCGCCGTTCGATTTGCCGTCGAGGCATCGGGCACGCCCAGCGCGTAGGCCTCACTCACGTACGGGAGGGCCATCAAGGCTTCTTCGATCTCCATCGTCAAGATTCGATGCTGGAAGAAGCGGAAGACATTGAGGGAGACACGGCCGTCGATGATGTAGTGCCCCCCCCTCCACGTGTCCGAGATCGCCGGTCTTGTAGTAACCCTCGTCGTCAAAGGCGTCGCGAGTCGCGTCGATATCTCCGATGTACCGTTGAAACACTAGGGGGCTTCGAATGCGGATCTCGCCGTGGTCCCCCTCACTCAGCTTGACCGACACGCCCGGTAACGGCTTTCCGATCACGCGCTAGGTAACAATCCGTCAGTCGGGCGACGCGGGGTCGGCGCATAATTCAACTCGTCGACGAGGTCATCGTCCGTCTCATGGGTTCGACTGGTCGCGATACTGAATTCGGTCGCGGCATAGTTCACCCCGATGGAGCGACCGCCCAGCAGCTTGCCCCAGAACCGCTTGACCTCGGGGGTGAGCGCCCCGGAATCACTCTTGGCCAGCCGCAGTCGACGGACTCCGTCCTCAAAGGGCATCCGGGTAGACGGGGGCTGGTGCCCCAGCTGGTCGTCGTAGAATTGCTTCATCTGTGTCCACATCAGCGACTGGCAGATGAGGAAGGCGACGGCGGGACCCTGTCGCAGGCGATGCCAGAGCCACTCCGGCGTCGCTCCCTGCGTTTTTATCTCGGTGCACACCCCGGCCAGGATGGCCGCCGTCAGGTTGCGCAGACCCCCGGACCAGTAGAACGCCCGATAGGTGAGATAGACAGCGTCGGGACCCAGTAGCTCCGGGAGACCGTCAGCGATAATGATAACACCACAGTACGAGCGCTCACGAATCAAAACAGCCGCCTCGCCAGCGGCGAGGATAGCGAAGAAGGCGACAATGAATTCATAGCTTGACGGGGCAATGACCGCGATGTAGGCGCCCTGGTCACTGGCGCCTTCGTCCCCGACGGCGGGCCGACACAAATGACTCCAAATTTGCTCCCGCAAGCCGAGGACATCGTGGAGAAATCATCCATGTCGAATCTCCCCGTACCCATCGGGATCTCGAACAACGCATCGGCTGGACGTGTTAGTAGCGCGCACCACGGTCTGGAAAACCGGGTCGTCGGGGAATCTGGGGGTCGTGATGATCGTCATGGTGACTAGTTGGCAAAAGCAAGAGAAGTTGGTGATGGTTTAGGCGTCCATCAACACAATATGTAGGGGTACGCCAGGGATGGACGAGCTGATGACACCCCGGGGACCCATTCTCCGGCCTTGTTCGCCAGTCCTGGAAGTGTCGGTGTGCATGGTCAGAAACGCGATTTGGGCCCAAGACTCCCAGCCTGACCTGTGGGTAATCTCTGCATCTCAGTTGGGACAATCTTTGTCTCTTGCAGGTAGAAGATCTCTATATCTTGCGGATAATCTGTCTCTCACAGGTAAAGTGTGTCTACATCTCGTCAATAATCTTGTAATAATGGAATTTATTCTCGCATCGCGCAGTCAGCGCTCGATGTATATAGCTAGATATTTGCCTCGACATGGCAAGACGATGGATGACATGTGTATTTCAGGTAGGATACGGAAGTACGAAGGATGCTTTCGTCAGCGGGAAGCATGGTCAAGGGAGAAGATCCACCGGAAGTCGTGCGTATGTTCGGGAGGGAGAGAGAGGGAGAGGAGAGAGGGGAGGAGAGGGGTGGAGATCGTCGGGTGCCAAGGCCGCGGCACATTCCGATGTACGTACGTCTGCTTGGCTCGTGCCGAGGATCTATTCAAACTTCAGAGATAAAATATAATAATAGATTAAGGTAAAGATAAAGTAAAAAGACCAAAGACCGGAAACACGATAGAAGTAAAGTAAAAAGACAAGAAACACAACCAATATTCTTAAAGGCATGAAGAGATAACCTGAAGCATGCTGTGGACAGGATCAGACATTCCAGAGTGGACACCCACGTCAACGGCGTTGCTGTGGAATGTGGTTACAAGATATCGAACTCATGGATGATATCAACCGAGGTGGGAGAGATGATGGAACATCTCTTCTCTCATTTACAGGTGGGATCTGGTACGGATGGTCTGTATATGTAAAGTCATGTTTCTATTCCGGGGTGCGGGAAATAGTGGAGACTCAACCGTCAACAGGTTTCTGGGATTACTCTGTAGTTTTGAGTATTCGGATAATTTAGTATGATCATGATGATTATCATTATTCTCATTATACTTGAATGGTAGTGACATGAACATGATCATTGGGTTATGGTTATTATTATTTGGATGATCTTCTCATATAGAGTCAACCAGACCTATAGAATGGCCACCCCCTGAATCCTCTTGGGTGGATGTCGATCCGTAGGAATTTTGATTCCCCTATATTCAGAACAAACAGAAAGAAAGAACTCAAATCAAAGGAAAGTCAAGCAAAGTAAAGAAAGTCAGAATAAAAGAATAAAATCAGAGGAGAATGAGAAAGACGAAGAGAGCCGTGGGAATCAATAAGAGTCCCGTGCCATTCATGCCTCAGTCATAATCCTCGGTCGATCTTCCCTTCAGCGGATCTTCTTCTTTCTTTCTTTCTCCTCTCTCTCTCCTCTGTCTTTCTCTCCTTCTTCTCTCTATCTTTCTCTCCCTCTTTCCTCCTCTTCTTCTTTTCTCTTCTCACACTCCTTCTTCGTTCCTTCTCTCTCTCTTCTATACTCTGTCACTCCCTTTTCTTCTCTCTCTCTCTCTCTCTTTCTCTTTTGCTCTCTCTTTCCCTCTCTTTCTCCCCCCCCTGTTTGTCCCTTCAATCCGACGGTCTCCACCCTGCAAGCAATCCACCCCTGCAGAAACACTGGGAAAAAGCAAGAGTGCTTCACGTTCCCTCCAAACAACTCCTCTCTCTTCTTCCTTCTCTCCACCTTCCCTCCTGTGATCCATCAATCTCACCCCTCTCGATCCCTCCATTGTCGCATCGCCGTTTCATCGCACTTCGGGGCACCCACGCCTTCCTCCTCCCTATTGCGCCCGACTCTCTCTGCGCCCTCTCTCCGCCACTGCTCTGATCCCGCTGTCAACTCCTCGGTTATTGCCCCTGGACGCACCTCGCCGTTGCCACCATGAGCGCCTCCCAACAGTCTGCGTTCGCTAACCCCTATGCCACCTCCATGACCATGGCCCCGCCAGGTATGTTGCCCCGTCCACTACCTTTGTCCCCTCCCCGTATGCTTCATCTCCCGCTCGTTTCAAGTGTCGTCCGGGTCTTTCCCCTAGGATCAGACCTTATTTGGCCTCGTGCACCCGTCCGACTTCTTCTTTCTTTTTTTTCCCCTTCCTTCCTTTCTTTGATTTCCCCTATTTCTACTTCGTACTGACCCAGTTGTCCCTCAAGCGTCCCCCCAATTGCCTGTCAACCTGGGTTCCAATAACCCCTTTCGAAACCGTGCCCTGTCGCCCGCCAGTTCCGCCAACTCGGGTTCCCGACCGGAGCGCCCAACCTCCACCAACCCCTTCTTGGACGATACCGACCCCTTGTCGCCCCAGTCCGCCCCCGTTGGTGTCACCCCCTTCTCCCCCGTCGACCGGCCCGACATGACTGGCAACACGCGCGAGCTCTTTGTAGGTCTTCCCCCCGTGGCACGCGCTCCCAAACCCCCTTCCCTAGCTAACCGTCAATGCGATCGATTCAGGCGAACCTCTCCCTCAACCCCACTCCCCCCCAGCCCGCGCAACAACCCACGGGCTTCCGTCAGGCGCCGCCCCGGCCGAATAATCCCCCACACAAGTCCTCAAGCACCCGGGCGCCCCCCTCGAGGGAACGCGCTGAACGCCGCCGGCCCAAGGATCCCCTTGACATCTTTGCCGACCCCCCCAAGACCAGCAGTGGCAAACCCCGCGGGGACCGTGAGCGCCGCCCGCGTCGCAACTCCGAGTCCTCCGTCATCGACCGGGCCTCGAAGCTGCTCGACACGGAAGATGATCAGCGCCGACGGGAGCGCCGGCGTCGCGAACGCGAGGCCCGTCACGGCAAGTCGCGCTCTAAGAAGGCCCATTACCAGCTGGATATCATCGATAAACTGGATGTGACCAGCATCTACGGAACCGGAAGTACGTACTCCTTCAAGTCAAAGAAAGAATCCACACTAACCAATGCAGTGTTTCATCACGACGGCCCCTTCGATGCCTGTAACCCCAGCCGCAATCGCAAGGGCCTGCGGGCCGCCCCCATGCAGGCCTTCCCCAAGGACTCGAGCAACATGGCTCTGGGTGGCGCCGGACCGAACAACGAAAAGATCGACCTCAACCTGTTCAACGGCACCACGCAGGAGGGTTACAACGACTTCGCCTCCACGGGCGTCTCCAGTCGCCCCGCCGAGGGCGGCAGTTTTGACCCGAAATCCCGCATCGAACCCGTCCACGGACCCAACAGCATGGGTCTGGGGACCAGTACCTTCCTCGAAGGGGCCCCCGCCAGCAAACTGGCTATGCAGCGGCGCGCGAGCGAGAATGAGAATCAGATCGTCGGGGGCATGTCCAACGGCGGCGGTGGGCTGCAGCGCAAGAAGAGTCTGGCGCAACGTCTCCGTGGCATCAACCGGGCCCCGAGCGGCCGCGTGGTCTCGCCCGAGGCTTCCTACACCGTGGCCGCCGGTTCCGCCGCCCCTGGATCGGCCCGCGGCAATGACAAGAATCCCTTCTATCAGGACTACGACGATGCGTATGAGAAGAAGGGCGCGCAGATCGCCGAAGGCCCGACTGAGCTGAAGCGGTCCCAGTCAGCTGGCTCGGACAAAGGGGCCGGACTGGAACGGCGCCACACGAACGAGCCCACCCGGTCCTACACCACCACGTTCGAGGAGGGCAAAACCGGCGGTGCGGCCGGAGGCGGCTTCCTCAACCGCATGAAGAGTTTGCGGAAGCCCCGTCCCGAACGACGGGTGACGGACGAATGAGCGGGGACATAAGAAATTCTATATTGGCGGATAGATGAACCGATCGAGCGGCGTGGAATCAGAGAAACCTTTCCGAGAGCGAGCCTCCGCCCAGGACCTGCATAGAGGCCCCCACCAGGCGGCGCATCAGACAGCGATGCTCTTTCTTTCTCCCGAGGATGATGGGATGATTCGTTCGGAGTGCAGGACCCTCCAGACAATCACACGTTGAGCAGTCTGGTTCGATGGATCATATGACAAACCGCACGGAACGCACGGGGGCACAGGCGTTGGCTGGTGGATTTGCGCGGACCGGATGGGAATGGATGGCTTTTGTTACGTTACTCTTACTCCTTGTATGCATTTTAGTTTTATGCACCTGATTATCAGAATCGAGTAAATGCCGCATTTGCATTGTATCATTTTGCGTATCTACCTAAGCGAACGAATTTTGATAAATCCATAGACTTTGTAATTTGTATTTCTCCGAGAGTGGCAGTAGCAGTAACAAACAGATGGTACACACATCATCTATCCAAGATTATATCACGATGACCTTTTGGTTCTTCTTCCACATTGATATCATAAGTAGGTATGCAGTAAGTAGGTAGGGTAGTATAACAGCAAAAACAGTGCAGAATAAGCAGTGACAACGCCGAAAAAGCAAAAAACCAAAACAGAAAGACAAAGGCAGGAGAAAGCATGGCTCGCGCATCACGAAAACATAAACGTGGATGATAATATGATAGTAAGATGGACATGCGTGGTTGGTGGGTTTCTTGGTTGTTGATGGGAGGGTAGTCACTTAGTGGGATGGAAGGAGGAGAGAGGGTAGGTAGTCTATCATTCAGTTATGGATGAACGAAAGATATGGTTGGAGAAGAGTAAGGAAGCGATGATTCCTTCCAGATGGGAGAGACGGTGTGGAAGAAAAGATAGAGAAGAAGAGAAAAAAAGAAAGAAAGAAAGAGTCTACGCGCGCAGCTGAGTCCGCGATCTATACGGATCAGGGGCAGCGACGCCGGCTCTGCGGTTGGAGAGGGGTTTCGGGCGGGAGAGGGTGTATCTGTTATTTATCGTTAGTATGGCTTTATATGATATTTGTGCAGTATGATGGGTGCAAGGAGATTGTATATGTGGAAGGAGGGAAGGAAAACATACTTGGCAAAAGCCCTCGAGAGAGCCTTCTTCGCAGACACCTTCTGCGAGCCGATAAACGATTCAACCGTCACGGCGATGGCGCGGTCGATGTCCTGCGCGGAGCAGTACTCTGATAGACGCATTTTGCAGAAGGATTCTGCGATACGCATGATTGCTTCGAGGTGGCGGACCTGTTGGTGTGTTAGTTAGTACTTATTATGAAAGGGATATATCAGGAAGGACTGGAGGAGGGGCATACAGTAATCGGGTAGGCCCCCGTAGCCAACGACTCCCTCCGCATATCAGCGAACAAACGAGCGACCTTATCCTGATCGATCTGGTAGAGCTTGGGGTGGCAGCGTTCGCGCGCATAGAGGATATACTTGCGCAGCAGCTCCTGGGGGATTTCGCCCTCCTTTTCCTCGTTCTGCTTGCGGGCGGACTCCTCGCGCTGGGCGACCTCTTCGGGGCGCAGAGGCAGCCGCACGCCGTGGTTGTCGACGCGGTAGCCCTCGTCGTCGATGCGGTCGCCGTCGGCGTTGATGGGGTGGCCTTGCTGGTCGTAGATGGGGCGGGCGGGGTTCGCGCGGTGGTGGGATTCGACGACGAAGTTGGCAAGGCGCTCGTCTTCCTCGGGGTTGACCATGTCGCGGACGACGCAGAGGATGTCGAAACGGGAGAGGATGGGCTCGGTGAGCTGGACGTTCTCTGAGAAGGGCGCGGTGCTGTTGTAGCGCCCGCCCGTGGGGTTCGCGGCGGCGACGACGGCGCAGCGGGCCTGGAGGGTCGTGACGATGCCGGCTTTGGAGATGGAGATGGTCTGCTGTTCCATGGCTTCGTGGATGGAGGTGCGGTCTTGGTCGTTCATCTTGTCGAATTCGTCGATGAGGCATGTGCCGCGATCGGCGAGCACGAGGGCGCCGCCTTCGAGGGTCCACTCGCTGGTGAGCGGGTCGCGGCGCACGCTGGCTGTGAGACCGACGGCCGAGGCACCTTGGCCTGTGGCGAAGACGGCGCGGTGGGCTGTCTTCTCGACGTACTTGAGGATCTGAGACTTGGCGGTACCGGGGTCACCGAGGAGGAGCACGTTGATGTCGCCGCGGATGGACATCTTGCCCTGGGCTTCCTTGGGGACACCGCCGAAGAGGGACAGCGCGACGGCCGTTTTGACGTCCTCGTGTCCGTAGATGCTGGGCGCCACGGACCGCACGATCTTGTCGACGATGTCCGGGTCGCGGGACAGCGCGCGGATCTCGCGCTCGTCCTCCTCCGTCATGCGGAACCCGGCGAGCTGGTCGTGCGACTTGACGACGTGGTTCGCCTCGATGATGGTGGCGAACACGGGGAATCCGTTCTTGTTGTTGAGCTGCGCGTCGTAGCTGTTGCGGTAGATGCCTGTGACCTCGATCTCGTCGCCGGGCTTGGCCGAGTCGATCAGGTCCGCCAGCAGGATCACCTCCCGCTGTCGCGGGAGACGTCCCGCGGGGACGGTTCCCGGTGACTCCTGCAGCGTGAGCTTCTGGTAGTTGCGGTAGACGGTCTTCTCCACGCTGATGTTAAAGGGGCCCTTGGACTGGCAATTCTGGCAGTAGGCGATCTTGACCTCCTGCCCGCCTTCCTGCTGGAAGGGACCCAGCGTGATGTTGCACTTCGCGCAGATGAACATCACGTATTTGAGTTGCGGGAACACGCCGCTGCGCCGGGTGACCACGCCGCCCACGCGGATCAGGCAGTTCAGGTGCGACTGTCGCAGCTGGCGCAGGGTGTAGGAGATGGGAAGGTCGATGATGCGGACGTGGATCTCGTTGTGGATGTCGTGGTACTGCGGATAGTGGAAGAGCGTCACGTCCAGGGCGACCTGGTCGAAGACCTTGAGCATCTCGGTCGGCTCGTTGGCGAGGAAGTAGGACAGAGCGGCCTTGGTGCTGGCCAGATGCTCGTAGGAGACTTCCAGCGAGGCCGAGTTGACCTCACCGAGCGTCTTGATCTTGTTACCGTAGACGGAGCTACCGGCCTCGTCCGTGAACTCGGTCAGGAACGCCTTGAACTCGCGGTAGATGGAGCGCAGCACCTGCGACTGCGTGACCCAGTCGGTGATGTTGGCGGCCTTGACGTCGGAAAGCTCTTCGAGGGTCAGCTCCTCCAGGCCGTCGTCTCCCATCTCAACATCTTCCCGATCCTCGTCGTAGTGGTGACGCCGCCGGCGAGGCTGTCGGGTCAGGTCAATGTCTCCGTCCTCGTCGTCTTGCAGGAACGCCGCCGGCATGCGACGACGTCGTTCGAGTTCTCGATCGCGCCGGCCCATGCGCGCTTCCAGCTGACGCCGGGCCCCAAGGTCCATTTCTTCCTGGTCGTCGTCGTCGTCAATGTACTCTCCCCGGTAGTGATCATCTTCCCCGTCTCGGTAGTCTCTTTCGAAGTTGTCTGCAAACAGATCGATGCCATCCTCATCCTCTGCCAATTCCTCAATGTCGTCGATATCTCCCAGCATCTCTGCCTCCTCATCACGTTCGTTGTCCTCATCGTCGAAGGGGAGCATAGGAGGGGAAGAAGGGGGGGCTATCAACGGGCGTTAGTCGACTCCCTTCGTCTAAGAGTGGTGGACAGACGATGAAATACGTACGACTCGAAGGAGGGGCAACCGAAGAGGTCTCATCATCGGGCTCTCTGGATCTCTTGCGGCGATTTAAATTCCCTAGCCCGCGATTGGCGGCGGAATTGCTGGGACGAAGTGGTGAACTGCAGGGATCATCATCAGTAAGGGTGGATAAAATTGAGCCATAACCAGAGCATCAACCTGAGACATACCTCATTGTGACAGGAATCCAATCTCACAGTGGGGGGGGGAGGGGTTGTGAAAATGGATGGTGTGGGTGGTCAGGGTTTCCGAGGAGATTGAAGATAGAGATCGGAGAGTCGAGTGAGATGGAAAGATTGAAAGGGAGAACTGGATGCAATTTCGGCTTGGCGGGAAACGCGTCCAGGCGCGACTTCACGCGTCGCTCAACCGTGAACCAATTAAACCCCAATGTGGTTAGCCTTCTACAAACCAGACAAACAGTCGCGGCGCGCGTTATCTCCGTTGGATCGATTGGAGGTATCGTCGTTGCTTCATGCTCGTGGCGATTATCGGAATCGCTATCATTGCGTTCTTTGGGATTATCTTTTATCTTTTTTCTAGTCGCTTCAACTACTTCTATCAGCCGTCATCATGAGCCCTCCAGAAAATGTCGACCCGCCTTCCGGCGCTGAACTGCTGAAGAACGGGCATGCTGGGAAACGCCGGGAGAGTGTTGGATCGCAAACCTCCCAGACCGCGAAAGAGTGAGTACACCGTCTTGTACAGTCCTGTTATTATCTTTGCCAACATTGAGGATGAATTATATGAGTATGGGTAATAACTAACATTCTCCAAGATTCATCGAGAGCCAAATGCAGCTGGAGCACGACGCCCGCGAAGTCCTGCCATATGTACAACACCTGATATCCAAGCGCACCAAGAAATAAGGGAAGCTAATGTGATACTTACAGTCCTTCGATTCCTGCTCTCAACCCCTAGGCCCTCTCCGGCAAGTCCTCTTTGCCTGCCTCACATGCAACCCGCCTCCCGCGACGCCCGACGCGCCACACACCGCAGCCGGTGTCTGCTACTCCTGCTCCATCTCCTGTCACGGCGAACACACGCTCGTGGAACTTTTCAGCAAACGCGACTTCGTCTGCGATTGTGGGACAACCCGGTTTCCCCCGTCTTCTCCATGCACCTTGCGCAGCGACCCCAATACTGGCCGGAAAGGCGTGCACTCGCAAGAGGCGCGCCCGGGCAATCGTTACAACAGAAACTTCCAGAATCGATTCTGTGGATGCGGCGAAGACTACAATGCGCAACAGGAGAACGGCACCATGTTCCAGTGTCTGGGTTTGGGGAGCGCGGAAACGGGCGGCTGTGGCGAGGACTGGTGGCATCCCGAGTGTCTGATCGGACTTCCGCGGGACTGGTACAAGGATGCGAAGAGGGAGGATGTGAAGAAGGAGGGCGTTGAGAAGGAGGATGGTGACAAAGAGGGTGAGAAGGGCTCTGACAATGACGATGAGGACGAGGAGACGCCACTCCCTCCAGGGTTTCCCGGTGAAGACGAGTTTGAGACCTTCTTGTGTTACAAATGTGTCGACGCGAATCCCTGGCTGAAGCGCTACGCCGGGACAGCAGGATTTCTGCCGCCGATTTACAAAGACGGCGACTTCGCTAAGCCTGCGCAGGAGTCCCAATCCACGACAGAGCCGAATATTTCCAAAAAGCGCAAGGCAGAAGAGGGTGGGGAAGAAGACAAAACCAGCCATGGTGGCAGCGAACCGTCCGCCAAACGGGCCAAAGAAGACACCCCCAGTGAGCCCGTTCCTTCTAGGTCCCACCCAGAGCCGACAACGACCGACCCTTCATCCACAAAGCCCAAGCACGAGTCTCTCCCCACCTCAGCGCCATCAGGCACTTTCTCCCTCTTCATGAAAGAAGACTTCCGCGAGCATTTCTGCCGCTGCCGCGACTGCTACCCGCACCTAGCGCAGCACATCCAGCTCCGGGAGGAAGAAGAGACATACGAGCCGCCTCTCTCGGAAACCGGGGACGAGGCCGACGGAGCGCGCAGCACGGGGACGGGCAGTCTGCTGGACCGCGGCGAGGCAGCGCTGAGCAACATGGACCGAGTGCGGGCGATTGAAGGCGCGATGGTGTACAACCACCTCCGCGACAAGGTCAAGGAATTTCTGACGCCCTTTGCGGAGTCGGGCACGGCGGTGGGGGCGGAGGACATCAAGGCCTACTTTGAGAAACTGCGGGGTGATGAGCAGCCTATGCGGGAGGCCGCGGGGCAGGCGTCTGGGGGAGGGGGACCGGGAGCGAACAACGATAAGGACGAGGAGGATGGACGCCGGGAGCAAAGTGGTTAGTGGATTTGATTTCCAGTGTCTGCAAGTGGCTTACGATTTCTTTAGGGTTTTGATTGGCTTTCTATGATGCTTCGCTGGGAAATACGCTCTTTGTTTTCTTCTTGCTTTCTTAATTCTTAAAGTCCAGGCGCATAGGTGATCGAGGGGGATATTACATACCTGTTACTATCTACTATAGTCCATTCAATACCGATTCAACGTTTTCACACCTGTCTCACAACAAGACAGATAAGGCTCCTACAATCAAACGCTTCCCTTCATGTATCCCTTCCCCATAGTACCCCCACTCTGCCAATCTCAACGATACGAACGAACCCCCAAGCGCGTCTAAGCCCAGCTAGGCGATCAGACATCAGTCATGTATTTCCCTTATCATAGACGTCAGACCGACTCCAGCCGCAGGGTCACCAGCGGAGAAAGACAGACCCTCTCTATCAATTCATTTAGCCTAAGACCACACGTCCACCAATCAGTTGTATAATTATATACTTGTTTCCCCTCGTCGGATCTGGTTTGGGACGGACTAGTCGATGATCGACATAGCAGAGTTGATGTTGACGGAGGGGTATTGTCTACAAAGATAACGATCAAATCCGCGTGTTATCCAACCCATATATATACAATTTTGTTTGCGAGAACAGATACTTTATACTCCGTCGTCTCTCTAACCTCGTACCTCGTGTGATGTGTCAGAAAAATCCAACCACAAAAAGCACGTCTCACCGACTGTCAGATAAATCGTCCGGCGCGGGGACCCAGTCCCCACCAGGGGGCGTCACCAACTTCAGAATCCATCCAATCCGGATCCACCGGTTCGTTTTTGTTGAATTGATTCGGACGAAAGAAGATCGGGGGGGGGGAGCAGATGGAAGAAAAGAGCGAGGAGGGGGAACTAGTTTCAGATCGTTTAGGGGAATGTAGCACCTGCTGTGCCACTTTTGGACGAGTGGCCGTGCGAGTATTTAATCTATAATATTATTTCTTTATTATTATTTGGGGAGAGAGAATTGAAATGCGCGATTAATCTTGTTTTGATCGCGTTACCTGGGTAGTAGTCTGTCTTGATGGAGTACGACATCTGTAGAGGTTTATATGGGGTAATCAAGGAGAATGCAGGTCAACCACTAGGCAGACATTTTCCAGTAACTTAATATTCTAGTGTTCAGTATTATAGAATTTTACAAATTTACAATCTTACAATTCTATCCAGAGGTAGATAATGAAAGGCGGTAGATTAAGTTGAGAAACTTGAGACTGACAAGTGGATCATGTTCCAGTCGTGAGATTGTATTACTGATTCTTGAGACCGGAGATTTCATTCTCAGAATCAATCGTTTCATCTTATATCTCTACATCTATTTATATCAAGATATATGCCTGGTATGTTATGTCTTGATATTCTTGTCAATTGGCATGGTTCACTCGATTAACTAGTGACTGGACTAGTTCTTGACACCGGTTTCTCTCCGCTCTTCGTCTTTTCTCCTATTTCTCTTTCTTCTTTTCTTCTTTTCTCTTTCTTCGAGTACTATCTATCCAACAAATCCGCTATTTCGACTCTGCCTGTGCCGCCTAGAACAGCCCGAGCGATATACCTCTGACCGATTATCTAGTGGCTACCGTGGCTCCGGCCAGTCCTTTACTGGATCGTCCCGCAAGCCGATCGTCGATCGACCCGGGCCTCGTTCTGGCTCCTCAACCACCACCTCCGACCTCTCCGCCCCGGTCGGATATTCTCTCCTCTCTCTTCTCTCCTTCCACCTTCTCACTCTCCTAGTTTTTTTTCCAATTCAATTCTATTCTATCTGTCTTTGACGCTATCCTTCGATTGACCCCTCCCCCTTTCCTATCCTTCCAGCACCAGTGTCCGGGTCTTTCCCCTCCTCCTCCTCCCCCCCTCCTCTTCCCCCCGCACCCTTCGTCATGGTGCGGTTACCATTACCGCACCGGTTGAGCTCCCACCTGAGCGCGAGGAGTACCCATACGACTCCGGGTCAGAGTAGGAGTACTAGCCCCATGAGACCCGCTGATTCCAAGCCTCTCCTTCTCCGCGTCTCGGTATTACAGGTGAGTGACCGCGTTTTCTCCCCCCGTCCACCTCTCTACTTCCGTCGCCGTCCCTAACGTCTTGGTTTTTGATAGGGGAGAAATTTAGCCGCCAAAGATCGAGGCGGAACAAGTGATCCGGTACGTGCCATCCCGCTGCAGATTGGAACCCGACTGAGAGACGATATCAATAGTACCTTGTTGCCACGTTAGGAGACTCGAGGCAGTCGACCCCCACGATCTATAAAACCCTGAACCCGGAATGGAACGTCACCTTCGAAATGCCGGTCATCGGCGTGCCCCTGCTGGAGTGTATCTGTTGGGACCACGACCGGTTCGGCAAGGATTACCTGGGCGAATTCGATATTCCACTGGAGGATATTTTCGCCAACGGCGAGGTGCAACAACAGGTGGGTGGTCAGCCCCACGGTCCGCTTGGGTGTGAGACTGGATGTCGTGTTGTTTAGTGCTGATCCGTCCCCCGCAGCCGATGTGGTATACCCTCACTTCGAAGCGGAAATCTACCAGGAAGAACAGGAAGAAGGATAGCAACATCTCCGGGGAGATCCTGCTGCAATTTTCGCTATTCGACTCGTCCAACCCCGATGCGCCCCCGAACGAGACCTACAACAAGTTCAAGAACCTGGTGCGCTCTGGCGAGGAGGAGGACGACTTCCCCCAGATCCCGGGGAACGTGTTGAGCAGCGCCGACCAAGACGAGCCGTCGTCGGACGAGAACGACGATCCGGATAAAAAGGAGGTGGTCGAGAAACGGCGGAAGCGGCTGCGTTTGGCTCGACTAAAACGCAAGTCGCTGGCGCAGCGAGCATACCAATTCTCAGGACAGGGCAACGGAGTGCAAGGCATGGTGTTCATGGAGATTGTGAAGGTCACCGATCTTCCCCCGGAACGAAACGGTATGGTGGTCGCCCTAGTCCCGCCGCGAAATCCCCCTCACTAACGAATATCACTACGTCTCGCCAGTGACCCGCACGTCCTTTGACATGGATCCATTTGTTGTCACCTCACTGGGGCGCAAGACGCTTCGAACCCCGGTCATCCGTCACAATCTCAACCCCGTGTACCACGAGAAGATGGTATTCCAGGTCATGAAGCACGAACAGGCGTACACGATGAGCTTCACCGTCATGGATCGCGACAAGTTCTCCAACAACGACTTCGTCGCCTCGGCGAACTTTCCGCTCCAGACCCTGATCAAGTCTGCGCCGGACGCCGACGCGAACACCGGGCTCTATCATTTTTTGAATCCCTCCCTGGATCCAAATCATGATGACGCATTGTCCAACAATGCGGCCGGGATTAAGATCGGGATCAGCCCGTCGCCGTCATCGAGCGGCCGGTCGAAGGTGGTCAAGCCTGCCACGATAAGCTCGCGGAGTTCCACCACTTCCCTGCAGGCCACGCAGGACACGCCTGCGCCCACGTCATCCCCGTTGCTGGCGCCTTCGTCGACCGCGACGGATACGGACAGCGGGGCATCGTCTCCGGTAGCCTCTTCGGTGCCGACCACCATCACCTCGGAAGGTCCCATCATGGCCCCCTTGGAAGACGAAGGTCTCCGGCTCTATCGGATCCCGCTGGTGCTGAAGAACAAAGAGCGATGGGAGGATAAGCACTCCCCCGAGCTGGTGGTCAAAGCGAAGTATATGCCGTACCGCGCCCTCCGCCAGCAGTTCTGGCGGCTCATGCTCAACCAATATGACGCCGACGACAGCGGCCGGATCGACAAGGTCGAACTGACGACGATGCTCGACACCCTCGGTTCAACACTGAAGGAGTCGACCATCGACAGTTTCTTCGAACGATTCAGCGCGGAGAACCAGCCCAGCGACACGATGGATCTCACGTTCGACCAAGTGGTGATGTGCCTCGAGGATACCCTGCAGGCCCTGCAGCGGATCCCCAAGCCCATCGGGAAACAACTCCTCCAGACCTCCTCCGCCGGCAGCCAGGATAGCGACGAGCCATCGAGCGGCGACGACGATCTGAACGTAGACCCGTTGGGGATTTCAGTCTCGACGATCCCAGGTGACGAGGAGACGCTCCCCCAGAGAAAGGTAGCCGTGCCTGGAATCACGGCTGAGGAAGCATCCTCATCGAACGACGACCTCCACCCGGACGATCTCGGCGACGAGCGCGGCGAAGAACACGTCGTCGAAATCCTCGAATGCCCACTGTGCCACCAGCCGCGGCTGTCGAAGCGATCCGACGCGGACATCATCACGCATATCGCCACCTGCGCGAGCCGCGACTGGCGGCAGGTCGACAACCTCGTCATGGGTGGCTTTGTCACGTCCAGTCAGGCTCAGCGGAAGTGGTATACGAAAGTCATCACCAAGATCTCCTACGGTGGTTACCGGCTCGGTGCCAACTCGGCCAACATCCTGGTCCAGGATCGGATTACGGGGCAGATTAACGAGGAACGGATGAGTGTCTACGTGCGGCTCGGGATCCGGTTATTGTATAAGGGCTTGAAGAGCCGGGATATGGAGAAGAAGCGAAGTAAGTTTTTCGTGGGGACCCGCAATAGAAGAGAGAGAGAGAGAGAGAGAGAGAGAGAGAGAGAGAGAGAGAGAGAGAGAGAGACTGACTGACTGACCCTCATAGTCCGTAAAATCTTAAAGTCCCTCAGTATCAAGCAGGGCCGGAAATACGACGATCCTGATTCAGCCAGTCAGATTGAAGACTTCATCAACTTCCATCAGCTCAACATGGACGAGGTCCTACACCCGATCGAATACTTCAAGACCTTCAACGAATTCTTCTACCGGGAGCTCAAGCCAGATGCACGGCCATGCTCGGGCCCCAATGAGCCCGGGATCGTCGTTTCGCCAGCCGACTGCCGATCCGTCGTGTTCGACCGCATGAGCGAAGCGACCGGCATTTGGGTCAAAGGCCGGGAGTTCTCCATCGAGAGACTCCTCGGCGACGCCTACCCGGAGGACGCCAAGCGCTACAAGAACGGAGCGTTGGGCATCTTCCGCCTGGCACCGCAGGACTACCATCGCTTCCACATCCCCGTCGACGGCGTGATGGGGACGCCCAAGACGATCGAGGGCGAATACTACACGGTCAACCCGATGGCCATCCGGTCCGCACTGGACGTGTACGGCGAGAACGTGCGGATCCTGGTGCCCATCGACTCGCCCGTCTACGGCCGCGTGATGGTCGTCTGCGTGGGCGCCATGATGGTGGGCAGCACGGTGATCACCGCCCAGGCGGGCGACAAGGTATCGCGAGGCGACGAACTCGGGTACTTCAAATTCGGCGGGAGTACGCTTCTCGTTCTGTTCGAGGAAGACCGGGTGAAGTTTGACAAGGATCTGGTGGACAATTCCAAGGGTCCTCTAGAGACATTGGTAAGTACTTTCGTCCCCCACATACCCCTTACCGACGTGCATGCGTCTGGCGCCATCCACTTCTAACGCAAATCCCCCAGATCCGAGTCGGCATGTCAGTAGGCCACAGCCCCGACGTCCCCCAATTCGAACCCGACATGCCGAAGAAGCCCGAAAACGTAACGCTGGAGGAAATGCAAGCCGCCCAGCGTCGGATCGAAGGTAGCCTAGCCCCCCATGTGGAGCATGAGCAGGAGCAGTAAGCAAGCATTGCATCTCGAGGGATAATTATCTGTCGAATTTTTCCAGCGGTCTTGTCTTGGTCTGCATGGCCCCTTTTGTTTCTAGCGTTTGCTTTCTGTTTCCCTAGCGATCTATTCGCACATAAATCTTTGCTACGTGTTCGAAGATGTGGTTTTGGTTTCACATGTATACAGGAGATATAGGTAATATATGCTAGGATGGACATACGATTAGGTACCTGAAGTCGAAAAGGAGTGGTGGCTATTTTGGATTATTAGTCTGGGGTATAGGACTTTCATCATATAGCCGTATCAATTCATACGTTAATATTTACCACCAACACTACCAATCGTCATATCATCCACCATCTATTACTTACTATATCGCAAAGTATCCCCCCAATAAAGGAGAAACATAATGCAATGCACTGCATTATCCCGTCTGACTAATCCTCCATCACCGAAAACAGTCTAGCGGCAAGTCCCGCACCACGCGCCACGACCAAAACAAGCGCGTGCCGCCCGAACCACCAAAGTCCCATCCCGAGTCTACTATCGTCGCCCTCATCACCATCATCGTCTGCGCAAGACAGCGCTGCCACGTCTAGAGCAACACGACACGACACGCCCGCCCCGCGATATCTTCGAATCGTTTCCTCGGCGTATTACGAGGTGGAAAACGCGCGCCCACGCTAATTCAATCGACGAGAGAGGGGGGGGCCGCTGCCCGACCGACCGACCGATAACAACACCGATTCTGCTTCTTCTCCTTACCTACACCCGGCTGAAGAGATTGGGTTCGATTTGTTGCGCCGACGGATAGGAATTGTTGTTGAACGGATTATTGAGGAGGGGACCGCGACGCGCACTGGATTGGATTCGACATCTTTGGTCTTCCTGTTGAGGTTGGACTGTTGTTGCGGTGTGTGATTTTTACCCACCGGCAAAGACAAAGCGCGACGACATACGCTCCTTTCAGCCATATTCTATTTGTCGATTGGGAGGAATGGGAATGGGATTTGGACCTTTCCACACAACAATCACAATCACAATCACCCGGTGAAAGAAACAGAGAAAGGAAGAACAAAACGGTCACCCGACTAAACTAATCGCAACTTGGATTGTGTCTTCCTTCGCCGGCCTTGACATGACCGTCACTGTTCTGGCTACTTCGACGACCAAGACGAAGACGAAGCTTCGCGATCCGCTGCTTGCGCTTGAGATGGCCCCGACCCAGGCGCAGGCGCGTCATGCCGCGCCTGGTAGGAAAACGACTCGGTCGGCTGCACGACGGAGTTTGACGAATCAGGAGAATGAGGCCCCTGCGGGGCCGCCTAATGGTGTTGAGAAGAAGAAGAAGAGTGCGGGTGCGAAGAGGAGTGCTGGTGAGATTTTTTCCTTCCCTTTCTTTTCTTTCCCTACAATACAGCGCTTTTTGCTGTTGGGTGTTCTTTTGTTCTTTCGTGTTTTGTTGCGCGATGCTTACATTTTATGTGTCTTCAGATGTGTTCGATGAGGATGTAGAAGGTTTCCAGTTTACGCGTGTTACGTCCAAGAGCAAAAAGTCTAAACCATCGGATAATGCCATCCCTGAGCTTGCTCCGCCACCAGAGAAACCCCCGCAGCCGTCGCCGCGGCGGGGTCGGCCGCCGAAGAAGAAGGTCGAGCAGAAGCCCGAAGCCACCACGGCAACGGAATCACAACAGGAGCCCTCCAAGCCCAGGAGTACAAGGCAGACGCGAGGCGCAGCGAAGCCGACTGCCCCCGAGCCAGAGCCGGAGCCGGAACCTGTGAGCGGGACGCGCTCATCTCGAAAACGCGACCACGCCGAACCAGTCCCGACAGAGAAAAAGAAACGGAAAGGGGGGCGGCCTAGCAAATCTCACGTGGAGGAGCAGCGCAATGGGTTTCAGTCGCCGGAGCCGCCGCAGTCGGGAACAGCGACGATTGCATTACCCATGGCGGATACCCCGGTGATTCAACGCAACAAGGAGATGCGGGGCGCTGGCAAGTCTGGAAAGGGCAATCGGCGGAGTAGTCTGGGGATGAGGGGGCGGAGAGCCAGTTCGCTGATTGAGTCTGGCGCGTCGAATGGTGGGTGTTTCTTTCCCTTTTGGCTAGCGCCGTGCTAACAGACAACAGCGTTACCACACAGAGAGGTAGACACGGCGGAATTCTTCAAGCACATCGCCAGCGACGGATTACCGGAGCCAAGACGGATGCGGCAATTACTGACGTGGTGTGCCACGCGCGCCCTGAGCGACAAACCTACAGGGTCTGGCGCCGAAGACGCGAGTGCTCGATTAGCAGGTGGGTGCTTCCGCGACAATTGCACGTATAGGGCAATGCTGACGGACTATAGCGCGTGTGATTCAAGAGGAATTGCTCAAGGACTTTTCCCAGAATTCGCAACTCTCCGACTGGTTCTCACGGGAAGATGTCGCGCCGTCCGTGGTAGTGAAGAAGCCGAACCCGAAGAACACACAGAACAGCGAAAAGATCAAGGAACTAGAAGAGCAAATACAGAGGTGAGCTATCTTCAGATCTACACATACAACATATCACTAATGATAAACAGGCTGCACCAAGAGAAACAGTCCCTAAACGCCTTACTACGACCGCCGACTATCCCCCCAATCCAACCTCCAGCCGCGCAACCAGAGGAGCCCACTGAAACCCCCACCACCAGCGAGCCTTCTGCATCCTCGATAGACACCTCCTTATTAGACCCGTCCCAACGACAAATATACGACACAATCAAACCCGCCCCCGCCCCTGCCACACACCCACCAGACAGCACCGACACCGACACGCCCGCCCCGCACACAGAAACCGCCATCTCAGCGCGTCTCTCGCGCATCACACACAGCCTAGCACCAACCCTCGACTCATTCGCCGCCGGCATACACGACATCGACCTCTACCGCGCGACCTCAGACCGGGTATCAACCCGGGTATTACAAATCTGCGCAGACCGTCTAGAAGAGCGCGACACGCGACACGCGCTCCGCCGCCTCGCGCTCGACAACGGCAGCGAGGAGGACACGAAGACGGTCCGGCCGCGGGAAGACCTGGGGTTAGTCCTCGGTGCGCTCAGTCGGATCGAGCGGCGGTGATCTCATCCTTTTTTCTTCTTCTTCTTCCCCTTCTTCATTATTTTTGACCCTTTGTATCTGGCTGGAAGGGTGGCCGGTGGGTAAAGGTCGTTTGTCTGTTATTAGTTGTTTGTTTGTTGTTGTTGATTTGATTGGCGGCATGCAGCGAGCAACGGAGTTGGGATTGGGGAGTTTGGGGGATGTTACTTAGCGTACTTAGGTAGATAATTGTATGATTGCTTGATTGGTTATTGATTGAGGGTTGGATGAAATGAATCCATTAACCTATTCTGATTGTGTGTAAATTGTGTATAGTGTAGTTTTCTTTGATCCTGGTGTAGTCTTCAACTCATTTCAAAAGTGTATCAGGTATCTACGTTGTCTTCATTAAGTGGATAATACTTAGACAAACATATATCCAGTGTTCTACCAACTTAAATGCCACTGCATATACAACCAAGTAGGTATAAACAAGGCAATTCAATTCTACACCCAGTAAGTAGACAATTACTGTTCCGGGTTCCATTGCATAATATCGTGGCCCTCTGCTCAGGCGGACGTGGTATGTTTGTAGCACATGGCATTTGGGCTACGATGGCTTTTTTTTTTTTTTTTTTTTTTTGGCGCTGTTGGTAGGGTGGAAGGGATAGGGGTACTATATGGGTATATGGCTAGGTTTGGATGGATATGTATGTAGGATGTACATGTGTACTATCTCATATATATGTATTCTTGGGAAGAAAGGCAGTGCTTATTCCATGTTATTAAGATATTTTGTTCAATCGAGTAGAGTATATGTGTGGTACTAGATAAAGAATTGTAAACAGGAAGAATGGGGAATGGAGAAAGAGAAAGAAGCCTATGTTGTAGTAGTAGTAAGTGATTGAATAAACACTAAGATGACAGATTTTAATGGGATCATAATGTTTATTTCTTCTATATTGTCAATCGGATATTTAGCAGATACCGCAGTACCAGGAATCTGGGAGTGTGACCAGATTGTGACAGTTGTAAGTGGCGAGGTGATGACTATATATAGCAAGTAGGAGGTAGGTAATCAGCAGTCGATCATGGTTGATCACGAATCAAAAGAGAAACACAATCGGGTCTAGAAGGTTGAATTAATTAAATAGGCCATTAGATAAGATACTTAACGCCTGCTTACGCAAAGATAGCTGCGCCTCCGGGGTATGTAAGTATGCATAGCATAGCGTAATGTCTTGCATTGGTCTGATTTAATATTTGAATTTGTTCTTTGGGTTTTCTAGTGCTGTGGGATGATATCAACGTACAGGAAGGGTTAGCTTATATTTCCACGGAGTATGTATCCGAGTTGTTGATTTATTCATGCTGCGATAAGTTGGGCAGCAATTTGCTCTCATTCCACTAGAACTAGTTCAATGACCGGTATGACCATCAGGTTAGTTTTAGATGCAAAAAATGGGTGGAGTCCGCTAATGCAGTCCGGAGCCGGTTTATTTTCCGGGTTGGTCTGGCCTGGTAGGTGCCTGACCGAGTCTACAGTATATAGGTATGGACCTATTTAGGTACCTCAGTACTAGAGTAGTTTCTATTGCTAAGATCTTAACAAGACCATGTGATGAATAGATCTTTTTAGCCTCCTTTTCGAAAGTTAGCGTGGTGGATGAAGGTTGAAGAGTTCGGCTGTCAGCTGATCCTATGGATCCTCTTGAAGTCTGGTTCATTATGGAGTCTGGTGGATACAAAACATTGATAGAACAAGGTCTTGTCAATGCCATGAGTCAACACTGAGTCAAACAAAGAAATAAAGACAAATGATAGTAAAATAATAATAATAATATTATTATAGACCATCCCTACATTATATCATATGCTCCTTGCCACCACATTAAGCATACTACACAGGTAGGACAAACCCTGGCCAGCCGGCTTGCACCTCTCTTCCCCGATCACAGTCTCACATCACCATCTTCCCTGCCCGGTAGAATGGAATGGCCTCAGCCTCAGTCTTGGTTCCACCGCCATCCTCGGGACGTACAGCATGCCCGTCTGACGGGAATCACGGACAATCCGGCCAATGCATGAGGTCTAGAAGGTTCAGTCATTATTTGCATAATGTTCGGATAGAGTTGGTAGGTACCTACCTATACCTCCTTGGTGAGTATGTACGGAGCACTGGTGGCCTGTCTACCAGGATGACATGCATCGGTTCTGCATAACAATGGGATACCGCCAAGGAAGGACAATGCCGTGTCACACCCCGCGACGGGTGGAAAGAGAGCAAGACCACCATGCCAAGTGAACATCATCTGAAGGTGTACAGCACACCCGCCGACTGGTCCAGACACCGCGTCACAGTCTGCCATCTTGTTTGATTCATCCATGCATGTCTCCCCATGTAATGAGCAAACTTTGCAAAAAGTGACCAAATCCACAAATCAACAAAGGAATTGAATGATCTCAAACTATATGTAATGGTTAATCTTCCTAAAAATCATTGGATATCATGTCTGTGAGTGTAGTGGGTCAGAAGAGCAAAGCCGCGAAACCTCAGCTGCAACCGTTGGGCGTAGATAAGAAGCCTGAAACAGGGGGCTGGGATGTTCGGTGGATCTGGGCGATTCTATCAGGAGCTTTAACTTCCATTCAGATATGGGAATGTCATCTGTATGGACTATGGAGTACCTGAGAGAATCATCCTAAATGATTCCCACCTATTAGCTAAATCGCCTAAAATAAGAAACATCGGATCAAAAAGGGGTTGACTCATGCTCATCGGTAGGAGCTCTGATCTTCCGGTGCTCAGTGCGCTGCAGATAATCGTGTTGATCAGCAGGATGGAACAGGGGGCATAGGCATTGACTTTAGCGTGATGATTTTTTTATCCTTTTTTATTTTTATTTTTATTTTTATTTTTATTTTTATTTTTACATTGTCGTGTTTTGTGATTCTACTTCTGATCCTGGTTTGTTGATGCAGCCATGTCCAATGGAAACTGCCTCAGGCTGCTCTCACCTCAAACCTTCACTTTCATTTTCACTTCTTCCTTCTTTGACTTTCTTTCATCCTTCTCATCCCTCCACTATCAACCTCCCCCCTGACTGATCATGGTTCCACATGGCTGATTCGGTTGATCACCTCTCAGAGCTTCGTAATGCCAACCTCTTATCAAACCGTCTTGTAACTGACTGCCCCACCTCTCCTGGATGGTGACGACCCCAATGGTGTGATAGGATAGACTTCTCCAACTAACCTACAGCAAGGTGAGCAAATCCCTCATCCCACTTCTTCCATGCAGGTGGATAGGTGGATAGATTCTCCTATCCTGCTGCATCCATCAATTTATCATCCCTCGACCGGGCTTCGGGTAACCGACTGACGTGCCCGCGACAGCCCTCTTATTCGTCTGTTGTCCTGCCCCTCCGACCCCTCAACCATGGACGATCATCCACACCGACCGGTGCAGATGGACGGTCCGGTTCGGGCGCTAGAGACTAAAGGTTCTGCTGATAACCTGGTTCCTTCGGGAATGCAAGGACCCACTCGGCTTTCTGCCTGCGGCACACCAGATCCTCTTGGTCTCGTTTGCCATGCCGATTAGCCTTTTCCTGCTAATCCTCTCTCAAAAAGGTTCCAGAATACAGGAGATCCAGACGGTTCTATCGGTGGAGAAAGGTTTGGCGACACCTTTCAAGATCCATCATCATAGAGCATAGACGAGAAAAAATTTTCCTCTTCCCTGAACTAAAAAAAAAGAAAAGGTCGGAAAAAGGACGCGAGGCTAAAAAAGGGTAAAAAACGAGAGTGTGTGAGAGAACATGGCCCAACGGCAACAGTTGATATCCACCATCGTCCACTCTCTTCCAAGTTGTTACTCCCCTCCCAACAAGCTAGGACTGAGCTAGGAGTCTAGCAATCCAGCACGCTGAACCAATGTAACTCCCCTGTGGCCAGAGTGGTACATATCGTGGAGCTCGTGGAACCGCTTCCGTCGTCGACCCGTGGTCCCTTTCCAAGATAGCCAGAAAAAAATGATGCCTGAACGCCGTTCTAGTTCTCTTGGGGGTTGGGTGTCACCCTGCGCCTTTGACTTTTTTCTTTCCAAGCGAATCTTTCTGGGTCTACTCGTGGTTAGCATGCTGTAATATGGGTAGGGCTAACTGGTTGGATGAAACAGTAATCCCTATTCATGCAAGTGTCTTTTTTTTTTTTTTTTTTCACTACATCTTATTTTCTTGAATTTTTATTTTATTTTAGCTTTGCTTGGGACCCACGCCGGTGATTCACCTGCTAGCTTTGCTACTGATATCAAAATTATCTCCCCTCTGACCCCGATCTTTTATCACGGTGGCAATTGCTTGCATCATTTGTCACAATACACGCCATTTGCCCACCCCCGTTCCTGAAATCTGGATTTATATCTCCTTCACATTCCTCTCTTCCCTGACGTCCTGTCCTGGGTTGTCCACAAGCATTGACCCCAAAATATTGTCATTCCTCCGCAGCCCTCTTTGCTACACAAACCCCAAGGCAGATCGCTCACTTTCCTGTCTTCATATGATTAGTGTCGTCTTTCCCTCCCCGTGATTGGATCTGGCTTCCTTGTCAGGGCTCTTCTTCTCCCCCAAGATCGGCTGCTTTCATCCAGCAGAGGCGGCTTTTGTGACCTCGATCCCATCACCTGCCTGGCCGTTTAATTTAATTCCATTCGATTGTTTGTTCACCGTTATCCCCCTTTGGGAAGTCGAAGACACCTATAATCAGAAATCTCCTACACGTTTCCCCCTCCCCTCCCTTATCTTGCAGCTGGCCCATTGCCCCCCGACGTGACAGAGACGCCGCCAGTGAACTCGACTATGCCTCGGTGACGTATGATCATTCTTTGAAGCGGGACCTTTCACTCCCTTCCTTCCTGCGCGCCACCTTCCACCGACTGGTCCTCTCAACATCTTGCCGTTGACTCGTTGGACATTGTCTGTGCTTCATTCCCCCGGACAGCACACCCTCTTAGCTCCGTGAGTCGCTGCAAAGTCGGTTCCCCGGCCGGCAACCCCCCTGGCGCGATCCATATCTCTGACCTGTTGCTAGGGTACCCTTTTTCGGGCTTTGGTGATCGTGATAGTGCCATCAGCCGGATCCGAACCATTGGTTGATTAGACCGAAGTGCAAAAACAAAGGACGAAAGGAAAGAAGAAGAAAGTTAATCATAATAATTATAATTGACCAGGAGGAATCTATTGAGAGATTCCCAAAGGTAACACAACTA